ATTTCTCTGTCCTCTATGGCTCCTCTGTATACGGCAGAGGGTGGGCTCGGCCAGTAACCGGTCCAAGAGAGATGAGACGAACTCACAGAGAAGATACAATAGTGTGTAGGGAGGAATACACATAGCTTTGTAGGCTCAACAGATGCCCCAGGAGAGCCAGGACGTAGGCAAAGCCCAGCAGACTTAAATGGGAAGATCTGTGGTAGGAATTCTTACACAGGGTTTAAAGACCAAGAGGAGCAGACGTTAAGAGAGGACTCAGCAATGGACAGGTCAAAGAGTAAAACTGGGTGATTTTTCACACCCCTGCGGTCTCAGGAAAGGGGCCTGCATATCCCATGAGTCTGAAGGCTCTCTCCTCACACCACTGGGCACAAAAGCGGGCTTATTTACAACCTGCTAAAGAAGCAGGGAGCCCTCAATTCCATGGCCTCCTTAGCCCTAGCCACTGGGAGAGCCATGCCCACCTGCACCTTTTCTGGAATATGGTGGCAAAGAGAGCCGATACAAATCTGTCAGTGGCCACTCTGCCTGCTATGCTGGGCATAAACAAGTCCTGTGTCTTGGACTCCGGAATCTCGGACCTCCTATAGTAAGGTCAAATGAAATCCTAGGCCTGAGACTGTGAAAGAGCACCCTGCCACACGCCTTCCTGCCCCTCAGCTCCAATCGTATGTACCCCATTGGCCTCAGGGTTCCACAGGGCCCCTAGCGTACCCTTCAGAGGATGGACTTGGGGTAGAAGTCCACATGGACCCTGGGAATGGGTTAAGAGCATGTGGACAAAGAATCCCAGGTCTCTGGGTACCAGGGCAGAGTGCATGCTCTGGGGGGAACACACCCTTATGGTCGTGCTGACCATTCATCCCTCTGTGGCTCTGGAGAAACAGAAAGCAGGGTCCATTAAGGCACAGGCTCCCTTGGCCAGGTCTGTCCCATGCTAAGTAGAGGGAGAGCCGCACAGGAGCAGGGAAAGGCACAGGGTGACAGCCAGGAAGTCGAATTCCAGTTCCCTTTCTACTTGCCACTGTTAGTATGACTCTAACCTCACCGGGCCTGACAGTGACTAGCAAGGAGGCATCAAGCTCTCTAAAGTGCATATTCATAAGAGCCTAGAAATCGGGTCTGGAAGAGAGGCACTGGAGCCACAGCCTTTCAGAGACAGAGCAAAACAAACGGAGCCACAAACACCTCCCTGTGATGGGCTGGGTGGGACAGGTGCATCACTTAGGCAAAGTGGCCACAGGGCTGAAGAACAGGATGTCTCAGGAGTAAGACAAGGGCAGGGCCTTCCTGAGAGCTTGCATTTGCATCCTGAGAGGCCGGGGGTAAAGCAGAGGAGTCTCCCGCAGCCCTGACTGGCACCACTGAGTGGATACACTTACTGGCTGGGGTTAGGAGGAAGGGTCCCCTGGGACAGCATCATCTTTGCTCCGTTGATGGCATGCAATTAGTGGACCATCTTAGTAAAGGCGGCATAAAAGCGCACCAGCACCACGCGTCAGCTCTGAAGAGAGAGGAAACAGGGACATACCCCGTACACACACCGCTAGCTGGGCCCCATCCAGTGTCTTGAGCTCAGAAAAAGGTGTCCTTTCCCCTAGAAACCAACCAACATGCCGGGAAGTCCATTGCTGAAGTCAGTGCAAACAGTCCAGATGGGCTCGGAACCCCGACGGTACCCTTTACCGGGTATCTTAGCTATGAGAGGCATTGTTTCCCTCTAGTGGTGACATAGTCGCCCACCGTGTCATGCCGTTAGAAATGATGGCACTCTATGTCCCCCACCCACTTCTTGCAATCGGGTTCCCATTGGCATTAGTCATCAGTTTCGACATCTGTCTGGCTGCCTCCAAAGGAGAAGTGTCCACAGTAGCACAAACACAGCTGTGCATTCATTCCGTCCAGGGCTGTGCTCAGTTCAAACATCATGTGATATGAGGAGTCCAGAAGCCTCCCCTGACACCTGCTTCTCCCCAGCTGGTGTTGGAGCACAGGTGTTTACACCATAGTTGTTTTGGTCACTGTGGTCTTCTGAGCAAGGGGAGGCCCTTGCAAGAAACAGGAGAAAGAGAAGGAGGGGGGGACGGTGGGACCCACCAGAGACTGCGCCTCAGCAACAACAGCTCTTTTATGTATCCACCTTTTAAGTCAAAATACATGAAATATGGGTACTGGGGTATGATGACTGGAGAACTCCTGGCTAAAATTATCTGTAGAAACAGTACAAGGGGTCAAGCTCCAGTCATAACCACCACTTGAAGGTTGTCCACTGGAAGTTAAGTTTGAACCAGGGGAAGTGGAGGAGAGCAGATAGGGACTCAGGAGGGAATCACATGGAAGCTCTTGGCTATCAAAAGTCTAGCAAAGTGAGGGGCTAGCAAATCAGAGAGGCTCCCTGCGTTAGAAACGAAAGAACCTAGACAGATACAGAAGAAGACTATGGCATTGCTTATATACAGAATGATCTATTAAAAGTCCAACTCAGAAACAAGAATGTGAAATTGGCCCAGAGGACTGGGGAGCTAGGGAAGTAGGGAGAGGTTCCTTAAAGGATTTCAGGTGAAAAGGAACTGTGAGCTGATGCACAGCAGGCCACTGCAATTAATGACAGGGCAGTATTCTGCTAATTCTTACTAATTCTTACTAAAGCGTTTGCATGACAGGAAAACAGAGATAACCGTGTGTGTGGGGGAGTGTAATTTATTCCACTATGATAATCATTTCACAATGGACACATGTATGAAATGATGACACTTGAAAATGTACAGCATTCTCTGTCAGTTACACCCAGGTAAAGTTAAAGATAGGGCAGAACAAGCTAAACCCATTCTCTACTGTGGCCAGTGCCTAAATACTAGCCTGACTATGTTAATTGACAGCCACTGTCAGGAAAGGGCCAAACACCAATGTCCTGTGAGAATTATGAAACAGTTTCAGATGAGGATTCAGTACAGACAGCCATGGACAATGAGTCCAGTGTATGTCATTCAATGAAAAATTTTTAATAAAAAAATATGCATGACACAAACACATATATATGAATTATCCTAAGAAGTAATGGTAGATCCAAATCAAAGAATTTGGAGATTTAAGTATGTATTCTATATAAGCATATACTGAATTTATGTGTGTGTGTGTGTGTGTGTGTGTGTGTGTGTGTGTGTTGTGTGTGTGCATGTTTGTGGCAGGGCAGAGATGCCATCTTCCGGAGGTGTTGCCTTGCTGCATACCAATTAGGCTAGGCTGACTGGCCAGTGAGCCCCGGGGAGCACTCTAGCCCAATGGGCAAAGTGCTTGCTATGCAAGCATGAAGAATTTGGATAGCCAGTACTCCTTTACAAGACAAGTGTGGTAGTATGCTCTAGTTATCCCATCACTGGGGTTTGGGAGATTATGGGGCAAATTCTGAGGGCTCCCTGGAAATCCAGTCTATAGAAACAGCAAGCTCCAGGTTCAGTAAGAGATCCTGTCTTAAAAAAAAAAAAAAAAAAAAAAAAAAAAAAACAAGGTGGAGAGCGATAGGCAAAGATATGGATTTCAATCTCCCACAACATTATTAAATAAAAAAATATCCTGCTAACAACTGAAGAAGAAACTGATGGTGTCTACAAAGTTGTTTCCAAATCCCTTACATATTTACCTGTCCTGGAAATTATTAGAAATTGCACATTGCTGATAACCAAAAAAAAAAAAAAAAAAAAAAAAAAAAGAGAGAGAGAGAGTTTATAAACCTCTTGAGGAGGCTGAGTGGACCCTATGAGGAATCCATACCTAAACCCGAACACAAAGCAAAGCAGCCCACGGTAAGCACAGGATGTCTAAAGGCAGCCACGGGCACGCCAGACTTGCAGAGGTCATGGCTGGCTGCCTGGGCTCTATACAAAGCAAATAAGAACACGGAAGAGAATCTACATGTTAAAGATAAGAAGACACACAATGGACGCCTACACCAATGTGAACCTTTGGGGGGGTGTGGATACGTGATTTAAGCCAATGAACAAACGAGCAAGCAAAAATATTCAAGCCTGGATGTGGGGTGCACACCTGTAACCCTGGCACGTGGAAGGTGAAAAGCATAGGGAGAGTTTTAAACGTCCGTGGTTACCAAGGACTAAACAAACAAAGCAAACTGTAGCCAGATGGAGAGTGGAGCAGACCCCTTCCCAGGCCAGGTGGCTCGTGGGCCCTTTCTCTCAACATGCTCCTTCTTGGTCCCCACGCAACCCTGCTGAGGTTTTGCTGCACCCTTGTGGCCAACGGGAGGCCTAACAGCCCAGCCCCAACAGGCCCAAACTGCCGGCCCTTCTCCAGCTCACACTCAGAAACACGGAGGGAACATCCATAGCAGCTAATGACAGGCAGGAGACAGAACCCTAAAGAAATGGCTGAGGTATAGGATCCAGGGGACCAGAAAGGCCTGGAAGGCACCTCCACTGGAAAGAAAGGCCCAACTAATCTTTCAAAATGGGACTGAAATGTAAGTCATTAGTTTTTAAATTAAAAACAGGCTCACAAAGCCAAGAGTCCCTTCTTAAACTAACACACGTGATTATTGCTATAATTAACTGACGCTAAATCCCCACGCCTCCTTGTCCACCTCTAAAACTCAGTATCACTTTCAGAAGAGTCAGACTGAGGGGTTCATTCTGCTGCAAGTTTCCCTTCGGTATTCCTTTATTCATTCGTGCTTTGTGGCACCCAGGACTGAACCTAGGGCTCTATGCATGTTAGGCAAGCATTCTATGACTGAGTCCCACTCCCTTTAACTTCGTTATTACGGTCCTTGTTATGACCATCCTCCCTACCAACCATTCAAAAGTAAAGAACATGCATGTGGTGTGCGTACAAGTGTATTTGTGCATACACCTGTGTGTATGTGCGGAGCCCATGAAGCAGAGCTGGTAGGCGGTGCCCAGCTACTTGGGTATCCAGGCAAGCCCTTCCCTCCTGCTCCAGTCCTGTACTGTGAGCCCCTGCCTTCTTGTGGCCACACTCACCTATTGGTGTTCTCCAGCACCTCCACCTTCTTCCGAAGTTCTAAGTTCTCAGTTGAACAAGACTCTACTCTGAGGAGAGAGGGCAAAGACACACAGTCACTCTCCACGGGGCAACGGCTCAGCTAGGAGCAGCTGAGGTGAGTGGCATCTTTAGTAGGGGTGGTCAGTGGAGAAGAGAGTCCAGGCGCACAGCACGGCAGGCCAGGGCTCTCCTCAGGAAGGAGCACAGGCTGGACACACGCAGCCCCCATTAGGCTCTCAGCCTGGCTCTCCACCTCTTCCTGTTGCTCTCATCCCACCATTACATTACAGCGTGGAGAACCATGGGTGAGCTGCACCAGATCTGAGCCAGATCTGATACAAAGCTTGGAGCTTGTGTGAAAGTCAGCCGGGACCAGAAGCCAGGACAGTGATGTACTGTAGCCCACACACCCAGAGAGGCAGAGGAGAGGTCCATAGAGATAATCTTAGTTACAGACGCCTTTAGGGCACATTAAAACCGAACAGGAGTGCTTGATGCTACACCAGCATCATCTAGGTCAAGTCATAGACACACTACTCCCAGAGAAACTTCTAGAACCAGTTAGAAGCCAGCCAGTATCTTCTCCCACGTGCACAAATGAGGAAGAAAGACTCAGTTATGGGTCTTCTAGGACCTCCTTCCTTCCTATCTCAAAGTCACGCCAACTTGTCAGATGAAAAACTACTTTCTAGAGTCAGCAGAGATGGCACCCAATTCACACTTCTCTGGGAGCTCTTACAGCATTCCAGGGCTTTCAAGAGAACAAAGGTGCCTTCATGTATTTTTGTATAAAAAAAAAAGAAAAAAAAAGTCTGCCCACAGTGTGTATTACTGAATACAGGAAACACCAGAGTCTGGTTTGTGTCATTTGAGGCCTATAGGACCTGGGTAAACAACAGTTTTCCAGTAGGCTGAAGCTGGGCATCTCTGAGGAGTTTCGAATGTCAGTATCTAAGGCTTGCTCAAGGAGCCTAGAAGCAAGCACTCAAGATCAAGGTCCAAGAGCAGCGATTCCTCCCACATGACCACAAGGGGGCAGGCCAACACTGCTGATTGATGCACGGGGCGGGGAGAGGGGGATCGTGGAAGCCAAACTGAGCCCCTCACCCGCCCGGCTTGTTGACCATTGCCTGAAAAAAAAACCACAACCAGTCAGTGAGCTGGCTTACTTTTTCTCCAGGCTGTCCATATATTCTTTCTTCTTTCTCCTGCTCTCTTGGGCAGAAATCTGTGAAATGAGGAGGCGAGGGGGTGAATTTCCAGTTCCGTAAGTAAAACAGGAGTGGATGGACTGCAGGAAGCAAAGGTCAGCCGAGCTGGCCTCACTTGGGTGTCTGCCTCCCCTTTGTTTAAACTGAGGAGTCTATTTTCCACCAACCCCATTTCTGTTAAAATAGCTAAGAAAAATGATGTCAGCTCTCTGGACCTCAGCTGGCTCAATTACATATAAAATCAGCCAACTGGGCCTGGACATATATAAACTGTCTGCTGGCTCTGCGTGAGGGTACAGAGGCATCACCCTGGTTCCCTCTGCTTCCTCTCCTGTCACAGGCCAGGGCTTCACCAGCCCCCTTCAGCCCTGGCAGCAACAGATGAGCCCAGACAGAGACCAGGTGGCTACTCAAGTTTGTTTTCATCGCAGACCACTATCAAGAAAAATAAACCTTTAAATTACCCAGCATAAAGTCATAGTGTTTTATAAACTACATATAGGGCAATTAGAAGAAAAATACATGCATCCCAAAAGGCTGGGATTTCTAAAAAGATATGCAAAGGGAGATGCTTGTATCTTCTCCTGCTTCTGAACAGGCTATCATACAAGAAGGAGTATGCACACTGCTATGAAAGTTCACACCCATGGTGGGTGGGACTTGCTGGAAAGGATGGGCAGATGGTGTCTATGTTCCTGACTGGCTATAGGCAGTCCCACTGTGGACTTTGGGGACTGGGGGCTGTGAGAGCTCAGTTCTTCCTTGTCTGTCATAGAGACGCCTTGAGGGGAGCAACCCACCTTATTCTTGATTTTTCTCCGGATTTTCTTCAGGGCCTTCTCCTCAGATTTGGTCAGGGGCAGTTTTGTAGGAATAGGATAGCCCTCAGCAATCAATGTCCTCTTCTCTTCCTCTGTCAGGACAAGTGGGCCAGATCCCTGCAGCTTCTGTGCAGACAGGGAGCACAGAGGGGTCAAAGAGCAGTGGCTGAAAAATGACCTCAACATAGAGTGTGGGAAACCCATCACAGTGGCTCACGAACAGTGGGCGCTTTCAAGTAAGAGACAAGAGAGAAAAGGTGTGCCTGTGTGGGTGATTTATTCATTTATCATGTGTGTGGCATGTGTATATATGTATGTGTGGTGTAAGCGTGTAAAGCATCTGTGTGCATATGGAGGCCAGAACAGGGCATAGGAACTCTTCTAAACTGTAGTGAAACAAACCTGAAGTTTGATGTTCTCACCCAGGTTGACTAGCCAGTGATCTCCTGGCATCCACCTGTCCCAACCCCCCAAGGCTGGTGTTACAGACACAGGCATCCATGCCTGACTTTTTTATGAGGGTGCTTGTGATTCAAACTCAAGTCCTCATGCTTGCAGAGCAAGACCTCCAGACCCTCTGAATCACCCCCCCCCCCAGTCTCCCAAGTGGGTGTTTTAAATCAAAGGAAAGCCTAAAGAAGCTTCCACCCACTGTTTCCCAGGAAGTAACCCATATCTAGCACATGCAAAAGTAACAGTATAGAATTCACACCCCACACCCCTAGCCACTTAGGGGTGATGGAAAATTCCCTTGGAGCTCAGCTTCATTCAAGACTTGTATTGTTCTCCTACTGAAGGGCTAATTTTATAACTAGCTCTTTCCACACACACCACAGTTGCTCTTCCCCTCCTTACAGCTAAGGAAGAGCCCAAACTCCCAGAGATACACCATCAGGCACCTTCCACGCAAGTTCAGGCTTCTGGAGTCCTACACTACCCATCAGCATGAAGATGAGAACCACAGCTCGTCCATTTAGCCCAGGACACAATGATGCATCTCTATTGCTGACTCACTGGTGCCTAACCTTCATGCTCCCTGCCACGGGGGGGGGGGGGGGGGGGCTGAAAACAAAACCAGTCTCTGAAGTGGCTTAGGATCAAGACTTAAGCCTGAAATCTCAGGGCGGCTCAGTGCTAAAGCTGTGGTGTTGGCTGGACAAAGAGAGAGGACCCTTGTCAGTTTCCAGGCTGAGAGTAAGGGATGAGACGCGAAGGCTGCTCTCTGAAAAAAAGTGATGCCTTCTCAGGAGTGGGGGGGGGAGGGGAGCTGGTATTATAAGCAAAAGACCGTGCTCTACTCAGAAAAGTACCAAGACAGCAAAGGGTGAGTTGTTGAGGGCCGGGCCCCACAGGGCATCTAGCAGGAAATACTACCTGGCTGCCAGCAAGAATACGGGGAGGGGGGGGTGACTTCCCCCCAAAGTGTTCAAAATGGGTAATTCTTGGAAGGAGATGCAGACATAGAGGATGGAAATTATTCCAACAATCCAAAGCCAGGTTCAAGTAGAAAAGGCAAAGAAGGGGGCGTGAATTCCTTTGTTCTCAGTAATGGTGCTATGTTAGGATCTAAAACTTATGGGGACAAATGAATCTCAAACTTTTAAAATTATACTGATAGATGGTTCCCATGCCTTCTTAAAACATTTTATTTGTATTTGCAGGCATGTGTGAAATTTTCAAAGAATAAAATACCTTTAAAATTTGTTCTTCACGATAGTATAATTCTAAAATTCTGATTGTAATTTTTAAGGCCTCATAGAAATCAGACTCCCTCTTCAGAACAATAAAATGAGAGTGAATTCTCTACCCCTCCTTTTATGTGTGTGGGATGAATGACGACCTGCTATTTTTGTCCCAGGTTGCCCCTAACCCTCCAACACACAGGAAGATTAAACTATGTTTTCAAGCTTTTGACATCAAAGAACTTAATCTCAGAGAGACTTTCTTTTCAAATTTCACCCAAGACGGCTTATCTGAAAGATGAAAGGCATTCCCTAGTGCACACTAAGTAAGCACAGTCTACATTAGTGGCAAGTGTTTATGGTAGAACTTTGAGGGGAAAAGCACAGAAATGGCATGCCTTAGTCTTCCAGCCCTGGGAAATAAATCAGTATGAACTGGACCTGTGCATATGAAAAACAGAATTACTGAGATTTGTAGGCAAGTCTTTGCAAACATGCTCTTTGGGGTTCTTACTACTCCACTTTGGTGATGTACCTTGAACCAGTCTGTCCCCGTCTGGAGGCTGGGACCCAGTGTGGTACCACTGAGAAGTGTGCATGTGAAGAACGCCCATCAATGCCTTTGAGCTGGGACTCACAGGACTGGATTAGTTACCATGAGGGTGCCCTGCTCACGGGTCCCTGTCTCCTGGGTACATACATGTCTCTCTGGCCCTTCTTCTTTCTGTTTCCCTGTTATGCCTGAAGCATCCTCTCCAGAAGCTAAGGAGATATAAGTGCCATGCTTTTGAAATTCACCACCTCCAGGATCACGTACCAAAACAAACAAGCAAACAACAAAATAATCTCCTCAACTTACTCAGCCTTCTTGGTTAATTTGCTACGGCAACATAACGTGGGCAAAGACTTGCAACCATTAAACAAATTTTCACTCCAAGAATGAAAAATCCTACTGAGAGGATTCCTGGCTTGCCAGAAGGGCGGCTCAGATACTTACATGGGGGGCAGTGAGGAGGGGAGATGTGGACAAGGCAGAGGCACCGCGGGGAATGACTCTGCCAGGGCTGTGGGCCTGAGACAGGCTGAAGGGATGCAGGCGTGGGTTAGGGCTCAGGCTGCCCTCGGAGTCACTGCTGTGGCTACTGGGTGGTGTTGGCGGTAAGTGCAGTTGATCCACCGAGGCTGCTGCGGATGAAGAGAAAGCATGCATTTTACCCACCACGGAGGAGTAACATGAGACTCAGTTAAACACACGCGTCTCCACACTAGGAGCTTGGGTAGGTGCACAGAGTGGTGACCCTCTTCGCTGACCTGGAAAGTTCTTTAAGATGAGATGTATTGAGAAGAGGGGAGCCGGGCACAGAACAGTGTGTCCAGTTGTCCTCTTTTGTATGGGAAGGGAGAGAAAGTGAGCACAGAGGTACACTCACTAGTCCTAGCACAAAACTACCCTGGGCAGACATATGCATGAGACACTAACAAAAGGGTGATCCCAGGGGTGGCCTGGGAGGGTGGGTGCCCCCTGACATGGTACTGACAAGACTGTGGTCCTTTATAAGCTTATTTTTGAGACAGGCAATCATGTACACCAGTCTGGCCATGCATTCTGGACAGCTGAAGGTGACCTTGAACTTCTGATCCTCTTGCCTCCCCCACCTCTGGAATGCTGGGATTGAAAGTGTGTGCCACCATATGTGGTACTGGGGGTAGAATGGAAGGCTTCTTGCAAGCTTTGCAAGCCCTCTATCAGTTGAGCTGCAAGCCCCGCCCGCCCGCTGTACTCTTCAGACAGTTTACACAAGTTGACTCGCAAATCCTGTTAGTAGTATGCAGCTTTTAAAACAGTCTTTTTGGAACCTGCCGACCTGAGAGCACTCCTGGAATCCCTGGAGAAAAGCTGCTTTGTTTCTGAAGGAATGTGCCCAGTGGGGCCTGCGGGCAGGAGGCCAGGCATTCTTCATTCAGAAACCCTACATCCACCATTGGACCGGTAAGTAGTCACAGGAAAAAAAAAATGGGGGTGCACGGTGCCTTCTCCCCTAAGGCCTTTCTTCAAGGCGCATTACCAGGGCTGAGAGCTCCCCACAGAGGTCAGGCTAACCCACTCTAGCCACCACACCCCCCCCAGCCCCACCCCCTGCATCACCTGGGGTTCACTGGGGGCTCCCTCCCTCTTTTTTCTGAACAGGATTTTTCTGTTCTGCTATGGGCTATTGCTGAGAGAGATTACATTTGAGAGCCCCTTGCCCCCAGCCCCTGGGGGGGGGTAGGTCAGCCTCATGCAGCATCTCTGTATCCACAGGGCATTTGCATGCTTTACAAACCTAAGTAGCTCAGGGGCAGGCTGAGTACGCCCCTTCCACACATCACGTGCCTGGCTAGAAAGCAGGCATGCACGCCATAAGTATCAGCCAAGGTTGCCAAGGTTTCCCCTATGCCAGGAATATATGATGCTGTGGATGAGATTAATCTACAGAGACTGCAGCTGAACTCCCCAGGGCACCAAGAGTTCTTCTGCCCGCTGGCCGACCTGGCCGAGGCTAAGCTACGCTTTTCTCCTTTCTGAGTAGTGGGGGAGCCCACAAAACAGTGACGCAGGCTGGCAGGAAATCCTGCCCATCTGGACACAGGTGCCCCAGGATCAGATTTCTAGACCTGATTTGAAATATGCTGCTCTGAGGCTGCCCAAGGAGCTGGGGACAAGCTACCGCCTAGAAACCTTGATTACGCCAGGATATTCAATCTCTTTATCTGTCTTTATCCAGAATGACAGGGAAGGACAGCCACTCCTCCTCCGGTGACCCCAGATCCTGACACTATTATGAGGATCTGTTGTTTGGGTTGTGACAGGTTCTGAACCACATCATGGCACAGTAAAAAAGGACAAGATACATTTGGTGGTGGGAAGCAGCCATAAAGATGAAGGAAATACTCGAGAGCAGATTCCAGGGCTCAAAGACATGAATGCATTCCGCTCAATGCCAAGAAACAAAGGCTCAATACAGACGCAGGTGGATAATTTAACTTTTTACTTCTTTACACATAGTAAAGGCTGTCACGGCCAACCCTGATTCGGTGGTCTCAAATCCAGCCCTGGGTGGAGTCCTAAAGGAAATCAGGTACATGATATACAATGTTCATATGCAATGTGAGCTCCTTGCAGTTGTATATGCTGGCTCCTTTGTGGGCCATGCAATGAAATGAACGTCTAAACAATGTTGAACGTGTAAATAAAAGGAAGGTGCATCACAGACAGAATTTTAACAAGCGCGGGCTCCATGTTCTGTATAAATTAAGTACTGAGAGCATCCTGTGCCAACCCCCCAACCCGAGGCAGAGGGTCTTCACCCAGGATCCCAACTTGGCCTCATATGAGAACACAACGGGGAAGTCAGGAAGAAGAAAAAAAAAAAATAAGATGTAGAGAATTAACAAAAAGCAAACAATGCCAAGGCACGACTGGGTTCTAAAGACAAGAAGCCCGAAGAGGTACACCATCAGGACCGTGAACATCACCGAGCAGGAAAGGGGCCTGTCACAACTGTCACCACACCCTGGTTGTGCAGGCACACTATGACTTCTTCGCAGAGGGTTAAAACTCAAGTTTCGGTTGAGCCAGTGCCACCGTGCACTGCTGTGTGCCCGTAGGGGTGCTAGCAGGCTCACACTGGGAGTGTGGAAGGACAGTGGCTCTCACCAGCTGCAGGGATGTCACAGCAGTGGACAATGGGTCTAAAGCCCCGCGCCTGGTAAGCTAAGCATCAAACCACACTGACGCTTAGCTGAAAGGGAAGGGCAGAAAGAGAGGTCACTTCTTTAGAGAAAGGTTTCACCTTCAAAATCAAGATTCTTAAGAACAGAGTTGTTCCGGACAGCCAGCTACCTTTGTAATCCTGTACTGTACCACTGTTCTGTGCTCCCTTCACTTTGGAATGAGCGCCTGGGGTGGGGACGGAGGGGTGGGGAGGAAGGGGTGGGGAGGGAGGGGGTGGGGGAGGGGGGTGGGGGAGGGAGGGGGTGGGGAGGGAGGGGGTGGGGAGGGGGGGTGGGGAGCATACCTTCTTTAGGAGAGAAGTTTAAGAACTGATCCACTTCATGGGGCTCCAACTTAATCTTAGGAATTATTGTCTGGCACGAGGAATCCACCTGGAAAAGGAATTTCAAACGTGAGTTTATAACTCAGAGACAGCCTTCACGAACAGGCCGCCTGCCAACTGTGCCTCAGTATGGGGCCAGCACAGTAAGGCTTGGGCTACATCTTACCTTCTCACAGCCAGACCTGAGACCGCTAGTTAAAGTCCAAGGCTCGTTACATTGCTATTATTACTATTGTTGCGGTCACCATCATCATCATTATTGCTTGTGGTGGCAGTGGTGTTATGATAAAGACATTTATGGTGAAATATTTTGGTAAAACTTGGAAGAGCCACAGGCTTCCATTGTGTCCTATCCCTCCATACGCTTTGATGACCGATGACAATATCTAACTATAAAATACCTATCAGGGAGAGGAGAAAGAGAAGCAAGAGCACAGGACCCTGGATGTTAGTTAGTTACGGACAGACCTCAAAACCAACCAAGGCCTGAACAGGTGGTTCAATGTTCAGAGCTCCTGCCGCTGTTACAGACCTGGCTTCAGTCCCCAGCACCCACACGGCAGCTCACAGCCACTGTAACTCCAGCTCCAGGGGACCCAATGCCCTCTTCTGACCTCATTGATTTCATGTACACATGTGGTACATATATACACCATACACACACACACATGCACACGCACACATGCACACGCACACATACACTCACACACGCACACATGTGCACACATGCACATGCGTGCACACACACATGCACTCACGCACATACATATGCACAGTACACACACACACTCACACACGTACACACACATACACACACACATGCACACGCGCACATACACTCGCACACGCACACACTCACACATGTGCACACGTGCACATGCGCGCACACACACATGCACTCACGCACACACATATGCACAGTTCACACACGTACACACACATGCACATGCACACGGGCACGCACACACACATACATAAATCAACTGAACAAAAATCTTCTGGAAAAAGCAGACTAACACAGATCTCAGGAGCCTGCCAGGGATCTAGAGAGGCACTGAGAAAGGGATCTTGGGATCTACTGCAACCCAGATCTCCTTACCAAGGAGGCTGTGACGTGTCTGTGGCCCTCCCAATACGTTCCCTTTTCAGGACCAGACAAATAGCACATCTTGCTGATGGAATGTGTAACTACATGGAGATGTCTGGAGCTGCTACAATGAGGCTCTGAACTTAGAACTGGAAAATATACATGTGATTCAGGCCTGTCGTCAGACACTGAAACCCCCAGGGAGACGTGAGCACAGTTAAATTCTACGTTCCACAGTGAGGGGCTTCGGTGAGGAGGGGACTCCGGCCCTTCCTATGATCTCTACTAGGCACATGACATGTGTGAATCAGCAGGTGGGAGACCCTGGATTGGGAAGGGCAACTCGGCAGGCTTCTAGAGAAAGAAAAGTCTACACAGAGCCAGTATGGACAGCCACCACGGCACCGAATGGTGTGGACTCTACCATAACCTCCTCCTCTCCCGCCAGAATGAATGTCTATGCCATGCAGATGGCAGTTAAGTAAAAAATGAATCATCTTCGCTACTGATTGTTCTGGGCAACACCTTTGAAAGTTGCCATAATCGATGTTGATAACAATTAACATATTCTTGATACACTTGTGCATATAAACACACATGAATGCAAGCATACATACCTGGCTATTTCCCCTCAAATACATGCATCTCCTAGCATAAATGCTTTATTGGAGACCAAAGACCTCTACCTTTTCACACACACACACACACACACACACACACACACACACACAAACACACACATATTTATAATGAAGAAAACCATATATACCCCAGCATTCATATCCAGAGGGGACTCTTCTTTTTCAAAAGGAGTAGAAATGGCTGTAATGGTCAGAGTGACGGACGGAACGAGTCCTGGGGGCTGCTCCTCTGTGATGGGCTCTGTCTTGACAGTGGCCGAAGGGAAGTCTGTAGACAGATACCACTTCTCATTCTCCACTTCCTCTGTGGGAAAAGGACAAGCCACTCGTGAGCACACCGGGGCACCAGCCATAAGCGAGACGCGTGGTGATTGGCTACTCCTCTCTCACAGATCCAACAAGGGACAACTGAGAGGCGTATGTGGAAAGAGAAATACACGGAGGTGGAAATGGACAGCAAGAAAAAAATCTCTATCTGTATATGCCCGGACATGATAAGCCTGAAGAAATGTTGGGACGGTTACGCTGAAAGGTAGAATCTGACAAGTGGTTTGAATAAGAATGTCCCCCATGGGCTCAGATGTTTGAATACCTGATTTCCTGTTGGTGGGGCTGCTAGAGGTTGAGGAGGTGTGGCCTTGCGTAAAGAAGTGTGCCCGGGGTGTGTGTTGAGCCATTCACAGGGCATTCCCTGTCTTCCTGCCTCAGCTCTCATCTGTCCTTGTTACCATCTCTGTTCCCTGCTGCCACGGCTCCTTGCCATGAAGGACTCTAACCCTCCCGAAACATAAGCCAAGTAAACCCTTTCTTCCATAGGTTATCTTGGTTATGGTGTGTTATCACAGCCAATAGGAAAGTAGCTAGTGCACTGGGTTTCCTGGGCAGAGCAAGAAGGGGGCTTGGTACATAGAGAATAAGACAGGAGGGGAGGTTTTAACCATGTAACATGTTACTTTTTGGTTTTCAAACCAAGTGGATATGCTATCTACATAATAATAAATAAGTATAGTCAAAAAATAAGAAGGAAAAAAGAGAGTCCCACCTCCACCCACTGGAGGAGCTCGCCTTCCTGTGCCCTGATCGGAGCCCCGAGGACTAGGGACTGTGCACAGGGGAACCCTGCCCAGCGGACCAGCCCATCCAGAGTCGGCCAGCATCCTAGTCCCACATGCACCCATGGGAGGAGTAATCTATGGGTCTATTTCCCACCTTCTGGGATCCTACTCACACCCTCCTGAAGTCTGGGCACTGCACATGTACAGGGGGAGCCTGTCCGGGCTGACCAGCCCATTCAGAGTCTGCCAGCATCCTAGTCCCGCCACCACTCACTGGAAGAGGACAGCCATTGAAGCACTGGAGCTGTTTGCACCCACCGGAAGAGAATCTTGGTCCCGTACCCACCAGGACAGGAAGAGACCCCACCAGTACACACAGGAAGAAGAGATGGGTAGACAACAGTGTAAGAACACAGAAAGATCAATATGACACCACCAGAGTCTAGGGACTCCACACCAGCAAGACCTGAACTTCCCAACACAGATGAAGCAGAAGAGAACAACTTTACAATGATGATAGAGACCCTCAAAGAGGTAGTGAGAAAATCCCTTAAAGAAATGGAAGAAAAAAAAAAATCAAGAAATGGAGGAAAATACAAACCAAAACTTGCAAGAAACAATTCAAACAGTGCAAGGCTTGAAAGCTGAAATGCTGAAATAGAGACCAAAAAAAAAAAAAAAAAAAAAAAAAAAAAAAAAAAAATGCTGGAAATGAAATAGAAAAGCTCAGTAAATGATCAGGAACTACAGATGCAAACATAACCAACAGATTACAAGAGATGGAAGACAGAATCTCAGGCATTGAAGATACACTAGGAGAAATAGATTCATCGACCAAAGAAAATCTTAAGTCTAACAAATCCTTAAAACAAAATATCCGGGAAATGTGGGACACTGTGAAAAGACCAAACATAATAATAATAGGTATAGAAGAAGGTGAAGAAACCCAGCTCAAAGGTGCAGGAAATATATTCAACAAAATCATACAAGAAAAATTTCCCAACCAAAAGAAAGATACGCCAATGAAAGTACAAGAAGCTTACAGAACACCAAATAGAGTGGACCACAAAAAAAAAAAAAAAAAAAAAAAAAAAAAAAAAAAAAAAAGGAAAGAAAAAAAAATCCCCTTACCACATAATAATCAAAACACCAAACATACAGAATATAGAAAGAATATTAAGAGCAGCAAAGGAAAAAAGACCAAGTAACGTATAAAGGAAAACCTATCAGAATTACACCTGACTTCTCCATGGAAACTCTGAAGGACAGAAGGTCCTGGATAGATGTTCTACCAACACTAAGAGATGACAGTAAACTAAGAGCCAACATCAAACTGAATGGAGAGAAACTCAAGACAAGGCTGTCCACTCTCTCTGTGTCTCTTCAATATTGTACTTGAAGTTCTAGCTAGAGCAATAAGACAAAAGGAGATCAAGGGGATACAGATTGGAAAGGAAGAAATCAAACTTTCACTATTTGCGATGACATGATAGTTTATATAAGTGACCTGAAAAACTCTACCAGGGAACTTCTACAGCTGATAAACACCTTCAGCAAAGTGGCAGGATACAAGATTACCAAACAAACAAACAAACAACAGTAGCTTTACTATATAACATAAAATCATAAAATGTCTTGGGGTAATGCTAACCAAACAAGTGAAAGACCTATATAATAAGAACTTTGAGTCTTTGGTATCAGAAAATGGAAAGATCTCCCATGCTCTTGGATAGGTAGGATCAACACAGTAAAAATGGCAATCTTGGCAAAAGCATTTACAGATTCAATGCAATCCCCATCAAAATCCCAGCACAATTCTTCACAGACATTGAAAGAACAATACTGAACTTTATATGAAAAAACAAAGACCCAGGATAGCTAAAACAACCCTGTATAATAAAGAAACTTCCGGAGGCATCACCATTCCTGACTTCAAGCTCTATTATAGAGCTATAATATTGAAAACAACTTGGTATTGACACAAAAATAGACAGGTAGGCCAATGGAATCAAATTAAAAACCCTGATGTTAATCCACACACCTACAAACACCTGATTTTTGACAAAGAAGCTAAAATGATACAATGGAAAAAAGAAAGCATCTTCAACAAATGGTGCTGGCATAACTGAATGCTGCTGTGTAGAAGACTGCAGATAGATCTATATCTATAGTCATGCACAAAACTTAAGTTCAAATGGATCAAAGACCTCAACATAAACCCAGCCACACTGAGTCTCTTAGAAGAGAAAGTGGGAAGTACTCTTGAATGAATTGGTACAGGAGACAGCTTCCTGAATATAACACCAGTAGCACAGACACTGAGCTCCACAATTAATAAATGGGACCTCCTGAAACTAAAAATTTTCTGTAAGGCAAAGGACACAGTCAACAAGACAAAATAGCAGCCCACAGAATGGGAAAAGATCTTCACCAACCCCACATCTGACAGAGGACTGATATCCAAAATATACAAATAACTCAAGAAGCTAGTCACCAAAACACCAAATAATCCAATTAAAAAGTAGAGTACAGAACTAAACAGAGAATTCTCAATTGAAGAATCTAAAATGGCTGAAAGACACTTAAGGAAGTGATCAACATCCTTAGCCATTAGGGAAATGCAAATCAAAACAACTCTGAGATACCATCTTACTCCTGCCAGAATGGTTAAAATTAGAGTCACCAATGACAGCTTATGCTGGAGAGGATGTGGAGAAAGGGCAACACTCATCCATTACTGATGGAAGTACAAACTTGTACAGCCACTTTGGAAATCAGTATGGCAGTTCCTCAGGAAAATGGGAATCGGTCTACTACAAAATTCAGCAGTTCCACTCTTAGGTATATACCCAAAAGATGCACATTCATACAATGACATCTGTTCAACTACGTTCATAGCAGCATTATTTGTAATAGCCAGAACCTGGAAGCAATCTAAATGCCCCTCAACTGAAGAATGGATGGAGGAAATATGTCACATTTATACAATGGAGTACTACTCAGAGGAAAAAAACAATGGAATCTTGAAATTCTCAGGCAAATGGATGGAACTAGAAGAAACCATCCCGAGTGAGGTAACCCAGCCACAAAAACACAAACATGGTATGTACTCACTCATATATGAATTTTAGACACAGAGCAAAGAATCACCAGCCTACAATCCATACTGCCAGAAAAGCTAAGAAACAGGGAGGACCCTAAGAGAAACATACATGGTCCCCTGGAGAAGGGGAAAGTGATAAGATCTCCTGAGCAAATTGGGAGCATGGGGGGGGGGGATAGGAGAAAGAGAAGGGGAGGAGAGGAGGGGAGAGAGGGACATGAGGGAGCAGGAAGGTTGAGTCAGGAAAGGAATAGAGGAGAACAAGAAAAGAGATACCATAATAGAGGGAGCCATTATAGGTTTGAAGAGAAATCTGGCACTAGGGGAAATGTCCAGAGATCCACAAGGATGACCCCAACTAACAATCTAAGCAATAGTGGAGAGCCTACCTTAAAAGTCCTTCCCTGATAATGAGGTTGATAACTGCCTTATTTGCCATCCTAGAGCCTTCATCCAGTAGCTGATGGAAACAGAAGCAGACACCCACAGCTAAACACTGAGCTGACTTCCTGGAATTCAGTTACAGGGAAGAAGGAGTGATGAATAAAGGGGTCAAGACCAGGTTGGAGAAACCCTCAGAAACTGCTGACCTGAACAAGAGGGAGCTCATGAACCCCAGACTGATAGCTGGAAAACCAGCAAAGGACTGACCCAGATCCCCTGAATATGGTGTTATTTGGGAGGACTGGGAAGTCTATGGGGCCCCTGGTAGTGGATCAGTATTTATCCCTAGTGTACAAATGGACTTTGAGAGCCCATTCTCCATGAAGGGATACTCTCTCAGCCTAGACACACGGGGGAGGGCCTAGGCCCTGCTCCAAACTTTGAAGATCCCCCATGGAAGGCCTCACCCTCTCTAGGGAGCAGAAAGGGAATTGAATGGGAGTTGGAGGGGGCAGGGGAGGAGGGGAGGGAGAGGGAACTGGGATTGACCTGTAAAACAATCTTGTTTCAAATTTAAATTTAGAGAGAGAGAGAGAGAGAGAGAGAGAGAGAGAGAGAGAGAGAAGAGAAGAGAAAAAGAAGAGAAAAAGAAGCTAATGGCTGGCAAGCAAGTCCTGGAGACAGAGGATTTCTTCACAATTATTTGTCTTCTTCTTCTTTTCTTCCCTCCCTCCCTCCCTCTCCCCCTCCCTCCCTCTCCCC